TAAGGTAATTCTTGAAGTCCTTCCACCCTGGAGGCAGCAAGTGGATAACAGATCCCACTAGGAAGGCTTCACTCAACGTCATGCCTTCGTCACGGATTTCATCAAAGATTAGTTGTAAATCTTCAACCTGACTTAGCACGGTTTTGGAATCAACCATTTTGAAGTCAAGGAATCGGCCAACCACAAATTTCTTTGCGCCGGCATCCTCACTTCGGTATTTATGATCCAAAGCTTCCCACAGCGCTTTCGTTGTGCCAATCTTGCGATATACATCGTATAACGCATCACACAATCCATTTAGGATGTAGTTTCGGCATAGGAAGTCCGAATCCTTCCAGTAGCCAACTGCCATCACGGATTGGGCATCCTGTTCCCTTAGTTCGGGAACCTTCTCGGTCAAAAATCTCGCCAAGCCGAGAGTTGCTAGGTAGAACAACATCTTTTGTTGCCACCTTTTGAAATTCGATCCAATACCGGTGAATTTCTCCGGTCTTTCGGCCGAACCACTCGGTACAGTAGGTACCCGAGTCATGGGAATATATCCCTCAGTGCTCCCACCATCTTGTGAACCAACGTTCACTGGTGTAGCTTGGGAATTAGCAACATTATTGCCATTCCCACCACTGTTGTTCTCAACAACATTCTCCTCCCCGAGAGCTGGCAAAACTGGATTCTCCATTTCTTCTAAGAAATTAGAGATAAACAACCAACGGGAAACGGATATAAGGTTTTAAGATTGTTGGGTAATATGGTTGTAAAATCCCAAAATAATAATAATCCTACGGAAAGATTAATATTATATGGGAAAACAGAAACTGGGAAGGAAAAGGTTGAGTGTTTGGGGTATAGGTTTAGCACGAGTTCGAACACAAGGTTCTTTTCCTTAAAAGCTTATTTGCTACATCCCACAAGTGCTAGGAGCGTTGTAGCCTAGGTTTCCCAGGATAAAACGTGCTACGATTCCTTGTTTAAGCACCTAAACAAGGAACCCGACAAACAAAGCACAGTATGAACACTGTTGGCAAAAGAAGAGAGTAGAAGCAGAAGTTTTGAAGCTGAAAGCTACTGGAATTCCCTAGTTTTGTGTACTGTTTTAAAAGCTACTGCTCTACCTCTCCTTATATAGGGATGTTGGAAGGGATAGCATTCAACATGGCCATAAATTGGTATTAAACCAATTGTATAACACCTGTAACGGTCACCCACTAAGTGGGATTAAACTCAGAATTTAAAATTGGAATTAAAACAGTATTAATTCCGTAACAGATGAGTTTAATCTTCTGCACTTTCGGGTTTCAGACCGTTGGGTTGCAGGTTCACACGAGAGCACACGGACCAGTCAACACGAGAGTACATCTCTCGTGTGCACTGTGGTGCAACCCGAGAGTGCACTACTCTCGTGGTCACAGATGCACGAGAGTTGTGCTCTCGGTGCACCACAACCTCTCGTGCTACACACGAGAGTAGGTGCTCTCGGTTCGGTTCTGGCCGAAACAAGTGACTCCCAGATGGAAAATGATACCGAAGTTAGGCATAACTTAGCCCGCAAGGCCAGCCCATTTCCGGACGACATTCGTGCCCGCAGGTGCTGGCGCACGCGAGCTCGGGCTTGACTTCAAGCCTTTTTGATGTCCTCTAGTTGGATTTTGATTTGCACCCCCCCCCCCCCCCCCCCCCCCCGCGCGAGAGAGCCTCTATGCTATACAATTCTACAAGCTTGAAAAGAGCTCATGTATATAAGGGGGCAAATCTTGTTTCCAAACCAATGTGGGACAAAGTCCTACATTTTCCCTTCATTTCCCAACTTAAATGGGTCTACTTTGAGAATCAATATCTCATTCACCCATTATCCGTTTTGAGCGTACAATATATCAATCTCTTCGTCTCACTACGAAGAACCCGAATCCACTTTGACCCGACCCAAATCGGAAGTGGACCCCACTGATAATTGCACCACAAAATAGCCACTTAATATGCCATTTTAAGCTAATTTTTCCAACATCGATCGCCTTGAAGTCCGGAGGAGACGAAGATCCTCCGAAAGGAATCACAATCTTCCTGATATTTATCATTTGCGTGTTCGCTCTGGTGCACGGGAGATCGCAGGGGGCGCCGGGGTTTGCGATGCCGCTGCAACAGTGGATCGCATCCGCGGCAATCCTTTAATGAAGATCGGAGAAACTTATGCGTAGGAATTTCATGCCTCGCGACTAGCGCCAGTTTTATGGTCGCGGGGATGCATGTAGATCTGTAGGTGTACTGTGGAGGAATTCTGGTGGCTTTCTCTCGTCTTCAACCACATGGAAACGTAAGACCACCAATGTCGGAAATAATAGCAAGGTACATCTGCAGATCTATGACCGGGTTTGGGTCTAATGCGATGATGCAATGTAACCGGAAAGTGATCGGTGGAGAGGGATCTCACCATCGTTGTCTCGTTGAGGTGTTGGTTTCGCAGAAAAATGTTGAGTAAGGAGAGCACGCTTGAGCTTGTACAGCCGCTCTCAATAAGAACACCAATGATGGAATTAATTAAACCGGGGGTCCGGATTAATTAACTCAAATAAATGTAACAAGTATATAATTGAACGATAATAGGGGTACAAATATAGTCACGGGGACTGATATTGTATTAATTGTGTATGATCAAGCTATTACAAGGGAAATGTAATGTTGTTACAAGTAGTAGTTTAGGACAAAAGGTAGAACATGATCTGTAATGCAAGACAACGCAATATTTATACAGGACATGAGCCAACAAACTTCCCTAAAATCATGGTAAGCCACCAGACTAAGTCAAGGCCCACCTAGTAAGCCCGTGAGACTAGGTCAAGGCCCACCATTCTGGGCCTCGGTCGCTTGGGCTATGCACTCCTAGACCCGGGTCCCTATTATTGGGCCATATATTTCCAATATATCCATCACTTATTGTACGACATTTCTTAATTATCATAATTATTTATAAACTTGGCTCTTTTGCTTGAGTACACTTGGCTCTTAATTACTCACAAATATTTTATTTTTTTTTAGATCAAAGGGAGGGGACCTCGGGAGTAACTAGTGACTTCCTTCACATGACCAGGAAGCACGTAGACTATCCAGTGGCGGATCCAAAAAATGATGTGAGTGGGGCATACTTAAAACGATTTTAGAATTGTCAATGATAAAATAGCAAACACCTATAATATGGTTCAAATAAATTATAAATTATAGTACAATATTTATGATAGACTATAAGATAGTTAAGGCCAAAGCCAAAACTATACCACTACTACAGAATTTGGAATATAAGTAGTACTTTGCACTACACCTTCAAAGTGAAGGTGTCTTGGATAGAATAAGGGAGAACTTTCCGAGGCACCAATTATAAAGAGGTGCCTCGGATATTTTATTATTAAAATAATAACATGCGAATCCGCAGCATCCACTCAGAATGGGTGCCGCGGATATAATATTATAATATTATAATAATAATAATATTAGAATCCACGGCACACCCCTAAGCGGTTGCCGCGGATATAATATTATTATAATAATAATATCGGAATCCGCGGCACCATCTGGAAAAGGGTGCCGCGGGTTCCAATATTATTATTATAATAATATTGGAATCCGAGGTACCTGCTTAGACCGGAGCCCCGGATTCCCATCCAAAAATAACCCCCATATGGTCAAAATTTCAACCTAAGTAAAAAAAAAAGGATGAAGTGTCAAATAGCACCATGAACCAATAGCGAAATGTCATGCCGCACCCTAATCTTTCATAAGTGCTGATTCAATGCACAAACTAAATTTTTTCTTCCATCTCAAACTTTTCTTAAGTTACCTATAAGTTGCAGGTCATAATTTGCTGACATGGATTTTTTTTTTCCATCAACATAGTCAACACAGTCTTCTCATCGCCCATCTTCTTCTCCAACCCGTCCAGCTGCTTCTCACCATCATCAACTCTGCTTCTCCATCAGTCTATTTCAGGTTGCTTAATATTCTGGATTACAAGAGTAATCCGCCATCATTTCCATTCCGATTATTTCCATCATCCAATCAATAGACTTTTGTTTCATCTTTGCAATCAAATTCTGTGAAGCTCTTCGCATGGAAGACTGAAGCTGTGGGTAAATATCATCATGTTGCATCAAAACTGTAACCACTATTTTCTCAATATAGTCCTACAACTTGGCCACAAAATCTTTTGCCTCCTCCAAGGCCAAAATCTCTTCCATTAAGAAATTCTTGCAATCAAAACTCAAACCAGTTTTCTAAAAAAAAAAAAAAAAAAAAAAAAAAAAAAAACTCAAACCAGTTTCCTGCAACTCATTTAGCATTTCGAGATAATATTCGCTTGGATCCTCACCAACTTCTGCGCCAGTACAGAAATAGTCACCATGGACTTTTCAATCTTGGACAAGAACGGATGACTCTGGAATAGCTTTGCCTCTTCAACTCCCAATGGCGATCCTTTTCTTCGCCTAAACCAGATGACTCTGGAGACAACCGCTTTAGATGAGATGAGAAGGGAAAGGACGGAGCTCGTCCCCTCGCTACTTCTAGACACCGCCAACCATCGCCGTCCATTGCTACTGCCGGATCTGCTTGCTGATGGCACCGTGCTGCCATTAAAGAGGAAGAGGAGGCGAAGATGAAGAGAAAAGCACGAGAAGGGAGGGGAGTTGGCCATCATCGATGCCTGCTTGCTTCGCCAAAAGGGAACACATGAGAGAGAAAGAGAGCAAAAGTGATGGGAGAGACGAAGGTCACGGTGGTGCTGTGAGTTTTAGTTTTTTTTTTTTTTTTTTTTTTTTTTTAAATTAAAATTAATAATGCCACATCATATTTACTGGTTCCATGTCATCAGATTTACCGGGTAACTTATGAAAAGTTCTTGATGGAAAAAAAAAAATTAGTTTGTGCATCGAATCGGCACTTATGAAAAGTCAGGGTGCGGCATGACATTTCGCTATTGGTTCATGGTGCTATTTGGCACTTCACCCAAAAAAAACCATCGATCTCTCCCTAATCTTCATCGCCGCCACAGATCTGGAAACTCCATCGCCGGCCATCGCCTAAGCTCTCCATCGCCGGCCACGCCGTCTGGCTCTCCACCTCGCCGCCTCCGGTGCGTCCCTCGCCTCCCTCGATCTGTAGACAGCCGCGACGGACAACAGCAGCAACCTTCGCCGCCTCGCCGCCTCGCTGCTTCGCCGGTTCGCCCCTCGTGGTAAGGTCTGCTCTCTCTCTCTCGAATTGTGTGAATTTTAATTATTTGAGAATGAATTGTGTGTTCTCTTGAAGCTCATGGGCATTGTGAGTGGTTGGTCTGATCTGAGCATAATTTTGTGAGAGGCTTGTGTGAAATAGTTTCTTTTGGGCTAGCAGTAGTGGATAGAACAGATGAATATGGAGTAAGAGTTTTTTTTGCCAAATTTGAGCTTTTTAAAATCAAAAAGTTCACTTTCAGCTAATCAAGACTGATAACTCTATTAACTAGTAATGAAATCATTTGATAGATGTATCTTTTTTGAGTCAAGGCTTATTACTATTTCTTTTTCTATGAATCAATTTTATGCTTGCTAATCACAGGCTATAATGCAGAAAATACATATTCTTTTTGCTAAATATGGTTTTCATATGATCATTTCAAGACACAATTTAATGTGGTTTGGTTTTGTGCAACAGTGGTTTAATATAATGATGTTTTCTGACATGTGAGGATGTTCTAAATCAACTATCAAAAAAATATGGGTGTAGCTTATACTTTTAAAGGTTGTTATTGTAAATCTCATTTTTATCTATATGCAAATGTGCAGTGTTTACTTGTTTGTAATGCAAATGTTGTGTTAGCTTATAAAATGCTTGCTTAGCATCCCTCCTTCTTTCATTGCAATCATTTCATTTCATTTCATTTGTGTTCTTTAAGGCTTACCTTTTAATTTTGTAGGAAAGTCCATTTTATCATATCTATAAATACTCAGACCACCAGACAGCAATGACCACTTAGAGATATTATAACAATTGTCTTTCTACTTGCAAATTTATTGTGTACTTGTTCCATTAACCTGCCTATGATTGTGTTGAGTGTTACTGTTGGATTCAGTTTGGAATAGAGGAAGAAGATGTTGCCAAAGGGTTGATTCAGTTTGGATTTTGGAAATCAGTGGGATACCACTTGGGGAACACCCGTGTTCAGGGTGCCATAAGGTATGTATTCTTTAAATGCTATCTACCTCTCATCTCATCGTAACATCTATCTATTCTTTAAGGTTAAATTAAATCCTCTATATTTGATCTAATAATGTTAATTTAAGATGTCAAATCTTAATATTAGTGACACAAATATAAAAATAGTATTATTTCTAAATATATGAAATAAATGGTATTTCATAGTACTATAATTGACAGATATGGATCGGAGTTGGATGTATGAAAAACGCACTAATATATATAACTTAATAACTTTATTTGAAGTGTTTGATATTAGAATTTTAATATATATATATATATATATATATATATATATATATATATATATATATATATATGTTTTGTAAATGTAGTAATCATTGGATATTGCTTGTGATTTGCGCATCTTCAAAAACGGTGTATGTGTTTGATCCTTTGAAAAATACAAGGCACTTTGAAGTCAAAATTTATTTGAATATGTAAGTAAAATCTTAGCACAAATACCATGTATATATTTTAAATGATATTATATGTTATTTATACATCAATATAAATATTTATTACTAATATAGGGAATTTCGATCTCTTTCTACAATTGGAGGAAGAACTAAAGCGATTGAATGGATGCAATGCAAAGTATGAAGTTAAAGTTAAAGTTTTAATATGATAATAACCTTTGTTTTTATTTATTAATATGATATTAACCTTTGTTTGTATTTTGTAGTGTCCACAACAGCCGGGAGGCACTGAATGTGGATATTATGTACTAAGATACATGTTAGAGATCGTTACTAAGTATTCAAAGGTTGATTGTCTACATGGGGTAAGTAATTTAAATACAACTATATGTATATTTGAATTATAATTTATTAATTAATATGTTTACTAATTTGAATAATTAAAATTATTATGCAGATATTTGATAATGAAGCACCCTACTCCTTGAACGACATAGATGAAGTTCGAGAGTTGTGGGCAGAATATTTTTTAGAAGAGTGCGTGTAAATTTAGTTTAAACATTAACTTATGCTTAGTTTATATTTGAATGTAGTGTTGATTGTTATTATATATTGTGTTGATATTATAAGTGTATTGTGGTATTTTATTGTGTTGATTATTACTCGTGAATTATATATACTGTTGTGTTTGGGTTATAAGTTATTAGTGTTAATTATTAGTTGATTTTAATTTAATTATTGTTGAATATTTATAGATAGTTTAATTAATTGTTATTCTTTTTTGATAAATTTTTGTGTGCATTTGGTGAATTTAGAAAATTCTGTACAGGTTGAATCAATAAAATTAGGGAATATTCAATTTAAAAAAAAAAAAAAAAAAAAAAACCACGTCACCCTCTCGAAGTAGGGTGACGCGGAAAGAAATAATAAAAAAATATATAAAAACTTTTCGCAGCACCCATCATGTCAGAGGTGCCGCGGAAAAGCAATATTATAATAATAATAAATGAGAATCCGAGGCACCTGCAGCGGAGCAGGTGCCTCGGATACTCTGTATTAAAAAATTAAAAAAAACATCCTCCACTTTTCGAGTCACCCTTTACGGGTGACTCGGAAAGTGGAGGACTTTCACAGTCTCCAAGATCCGAGTCACCTGTACAGGTGACTCGGAATGTGTTTTATGGGTGCCTCTAAAAGCTTTTTTTGTACTAGTGTACTTGGGTAGGGTGAAATTTAAAAAACACTTTGAAATGTAATAAAAAATATTTATGGCAAAATATAAAACATAATTGATTAGATAAAATAGTTTGAAAAATATTTAATTTATTGAAGGGTGAGAACACTTTAAGTAAAGAAAAGAAGTTAAAATATATACACAAAAAAATAGAATTATACAAAATTGTTGTAAGTGAGGTTCGAACACAAGAATATAATTATACAAAATCGCTATAAGTGAGGTTACAATTCAAACTCATGACATTTCATGTCATTTGCAAGGTTTAACCAACTAAGCAACTAAATTACTTAGTAACTTATAGATGTAAATATATATTAAAGGGGAAAAGGGTGAGGGGGGTAGCTGATCCCACTGCCCCCATTGTGGCTCCGCCACTAAAACTATCATTCATGATGAAATCTTTCAAGCCAAGTGATGTGAGTCAAATTGTGCTTATTTCTTGTATTAGTTTGATCATGTTTGTTAGGTTCAATTTCATGAAAATGATAATTTAATTGCATAATTTTTTATTTTATTATTTAATTATGGTTCACACTTGTTTTGAATGTTTTACGATGTTTGTTAGTGATTTAAGACGAATTTGAAGATAAAGCCAAGGCGCTCGACGCGTCGAATGACGCTATGCGAAGAAATTAAATGCGCTGGTTGCAAAATGAAGGGGCGGCTGAAATAAATTAAGAAAGGAGCAGCTTCCAAATTAAAAGGGAGTAGCTGCAATTTCCAAAGCAAATAAAGGGATGCATTTTCCAAATCCAAAGTGGGCTACAATAATTCTAAAATCATAAAGTCGGCAATTTCAAAAATATAATAAGTGAAATTCCAATATTGTCTCGGCTTTGACTCCTGCTATAAAATCCGGCTTTGATTTAACCCTAGAAGATTCATGTTCAATTTTGGAGACAAGAAATAGAAGAATTGAGAGCTACAAGGTATCTTTGGAAGCATAGTTGCAGTAGGCGCTAGGCGCTAGTCGGGCGCCCGGACAGCGCCTAGCGCCTAGCGCCTAGGCGGAATCTAGGCGGTGCTAGGCGGGCGCAAAAAAAACAGTGGTAGACTTGTAGTTTGACAATTTTAATGAGGTTGTTTTCAACATTTAATCAAATAACACATCCAAATAAATGAATTAATGATAATTCATAAGTCATAACATCAAAACAATGGTTTTCAAAAAAAAAACATTAAAACAATATTAAAAATTAAAAATACTCAAATATGAAATACTCAAATACTTCAATCATCCAAAGATTCAAAGTATCGAACTAGTCTACGAGTGTATATATGTCATATTATATATATGTATGCTCGCGCGCGCACACACACATATATATAATAAAAAAAATAGACCGAGCCGATCGGGTTAACTCGACCGAAATGGATGAGTTTGTTAGGAACATGTGTATTAGGATTTTGATGATACCAATGTAACTTAGAAGTAGACCCCTAACTTTTTGTCATTTGTTTCGTTACCTTCGTCTTAGACGGAAGGTACCTTAACTCAACATGTAATTCGTGTAAAGCTAGACAAACACACGAAACTGAGTTAAGAGCCATTTTTTTTTAATTAGGTCTCTCTCTCGACGAATGAAGAACAGTTCGATGAAGCACAGTCTCATCCCTACTGAACAACGAAAGATGATCTTCTACAACAGAAGGCAAAAGCCGAAAGAAGCCTTCTGACCAAAAGACCTTTGTGGTTGTCAAGACAACTCATCTTCTCTCAACTCAAGAAGAATGTTGTCAATCTGTCTAATCTGAAGATCATCCTAGGAAGAAACTCTCCTAGGATTAAGAGCACACTTATCAAGGTGCATTAAATGCCACCGTACTACTTTTCAGAGCTAGAAGACAAAATAAGCAAAAGTGTTTGTCTCCAACGTCTCTATAGTACATCCGCATTTAATGAAGCAATAAATGCACAAGGCTCTTCGGTTATTAACCACTTGATCATAGGTTTGAAATGCCATCTCCCTCCAACGGATGGATTTCTTCTCACCTATAAATACCCATCTTCTCCACATTAGAAGGTGCTGGTTTTCTGAACGATCAAACTCCCATTCTCAAAAGCTCCTTACATTAAGAACACTCTCTCAAAGCTTTTGAAATCCAGTGATTCAAGGTGTGATATTTTGAAGAAGCAAATTTGATTTCATTCACACAACCTTGAAGAAGTCTTGCACCTTTGTACACGCTGATTATCCATCTAGCCACCAACCAATCAAGACTTCAACGTGTTGGAGAAACTCAAAGATTATTCAAATCCAACCCTCAACTCTGAAGAAGAAGTTGATAGAGGCGGAGTAAACTCGAGGAGTTGAAAAACCTTCAAGTAGCTGTCCGGCTTAGTGATCAAGGAAGCTATCTTGGTGTAATTTGTACTAGGAGTGATAGTGCAAACCTTTCACGAGTTGTGAAAGAAGAGTGGAGTAGGCACAGTTGGCCGAACCATTATAAAAATCTCTTGTCTTTGTCTCTTTACATTTCAGCATTTTACTTTCGTGCATCGCATTTCATTAGCCCTAACCGAAAGTTCTCCATAAGATCAAACAGTGCAAAGAAACTTAAAATTTACATTACATATCCGCTGCGTAATAATCCCGAAAGGAGTTATTTTTGTGAAAAACGAAGTGAGTCTATTCACCCCCCCCCCCCCCCCTCTAGACTCTCCTTTCGACTCTACCAGGACCAACAAGTGGTATCAGAGCCGTTACCTTGAACAGTAAAAGCTTTGCCTTTACTGCCTGGTAGATCCCTTTTTACAAAAAGTTTAAAATCTCCTTTTTCTCGTCTTTGCACTTATTTTTTAAAAGGAAAATGGAAAAGGATCATGCTAACCGATCTAGGCCTCTTGCCTTTAATCTATCAAAATTTGATGATTGGAAAGTAAGGATGCAGGCACATCTCTCGGCGATCCATGATGAAATGTGGGATGTCATATGCACAGGACCCATCACAGTGATGATGGTGAACACCAATGCTGCTGCACAAGGAGCTGATGCAGAACCAATGATACCGAAACCAAAGTCTCAGCTTAACTCGGATGAGAAAACAAGAGCAAACCTGGATAATGTAGCATGAGACATCCTTTACAAATCATTGGACGATTCTCTCTTCCCGAGAGTTCGCAAATGCAAAACAGCCATGGAAATCTGGAACGTTCTTATGAACTTGGGAGAAGGAGATGAGCAAGAAAAAGACAACAAACTCACTGTTGCCATGAAGAAGTTTGAAGACTTCAAGATGATGCCTAACGAAGCTATCACCGACATGGAACTCAGATTCACAAAGCTTCTGGGTGATCTTTCAGATCTCGGAAAAGAGCTCACTGAAAAAGAGAAGAACTTGAAGATTCTTCGAGGTCTCCCGAAATCATGGGACATGAAAGTCACCACAATGAGAGATCATCGCGACATGAAAACCACGAGTACAAGCAAAATCTTCAGTGATCTGAAAGCTAATGAGTTCGAGCACGAACCGAAGGAGTTGGAAGAACACGAGATCAGAAACGTGGCCATGACCAACAACCCTCGACGTCAAATAGGTCAACCTCTAACTCTTCAAATTTTTTATCTGACGAACAATATGCCATGTTTGTTAGGAAAATGAAAAGATTCATGCGGAAAAACAACTTCCAAGACTTCCAAAGATCATCAAGCCGAAGGCAACATGAAAGATCTCCACTTCCACCAAGACAAGAAACAGTGGATTCCCAAATGCTGTGCTACAATTGTCAAAAGCCTGGACATTTTAAGGCAAATTGCCCACATCCAATGGTTAGCAAACATCAGGACTTGGGAACGACAAAAGAAACTAGCTAATCCATCAAAATGAGTGACAAACCAGAATCGTCGAACTCCAGAAACGAAAGAAGGAGAAAAGCAATGGTCGTAAATGAAACGACCGAAAACAATGAATCCGAAAGCAGTTCCTCAAGCTCAAGCTCGGATGATGACAGTGCTGAAGAAGAAAAGGGACTGTTGTGTTTTTTCAGCGAGGAAGAAAAATCAAGTGAAATGTGTCTTATGGAACAAGATGAAGAGGTAGACTCTCAATCCTCTTCCTTTCTTTCGTTAGAAACGAACTCATCAAATGATCAACACTCCAATGAATCTGTCAGTGATATGATGAGGAGATTTGCTATCATAAATAGCACATACTCAGAATTGAAAGAGGAGAGCTCTCGACTATTGATCAGCCACAATGAGCTAAGGCAAGTTCGAATAGAGAACATAAAGCTAGCCATTGTAAAGGATCAGCTCGAAAAGCAAGTTCTATCTCTCAAAGAGCAGTGTACAGAAAGAGAGAAGCGGGAGCAACATTTGCATGAGGTTCTTGACTCAGTTAATAATTCGTCCAATCTGATGGACCGAATGATAAATGGTTCAAAACCGCCTGGGGAAAGAACCGGAATTGGTTATGACC